CAAGAGACACCGAAACTACCACGAACATCTGGAGACCAGTAATTACTACATTAAGTACATACTATATATATATATATATATATATATATATATATATACAAAAAAAACCTCGTATTTTTTAGGCCTCTGCAACTTCAAGGTTTTTGAATGGTTTACTTTAAAAACACGGGCAAACAAACAGTTTTTAAACAATGCCTCAATGGAGAAGATGGGCGTAAACTTTTTCTCCATCCCCTCCCACACCAGAAACTGATAAAAAAAAAGGGAGAAAAAAAAACGAACAGTAAGTTTATAATTATTTTCTTATCAGTCCGTCGTTTAGCGCTGCACTAATATTTTCGTTCTAAATTCTATGGACAAATTTAGGATTTTTGTCTCAAGTCACCTAATAGCCGATATTTCGAAAACGTACAACAATAGCATCTTATCTTACGTCAGTATTACACGCATGCGTGAAAGAACATTCCGATATTAATTTCGTTGTTTTTCGTGCAAACAATTTCTTTATGAATATTTTAAACCCTAGCGTAGAATCACTACACCTTTCAAGCAGTTTTTGTTTCAAGGCGATGTTTAAAAAAAAACGCGAAAAACATTCAGTATTACAAGGAATAAAAAACGACTCGTGCTAGTAAGTACGACAGTTTACTGGACTCAAAACAGATCAGATAACTACGTAATTTGATGCAGAAAATTTCACTTTCATTTTGATATTACTCTTTTGTTATCACCTTTTCAAAAGAGGGTGGTCCAACGAAAAAAGGAGTTCATTTACCATACACTCGATGAACTAAAGACGAATGTTTTTTTGTTTTGACCAAGTTCTCACCAAGAATGGAAACGGGCTTTTAGAGAGGAGGAGGAGGCCACGTTCTTTCTTCAACGTGGGGCACATAATTTCATCATACATTAGTATGATAGACAGTTTAGGCCTAAGCGTCGTACTTCCAACCTGGTCGACATTTTAGGCCTAAGCATCGTACTTCCATCCTGGGTGACACTTTAGGCCTAAGCGTCTTACTTCCAATCTGGTCGACAGTTTAGGCCTAAGCGTCGTACTTCCAATCTGGTCGACAGTTTAGGCCTAAGCGTCGTACTTTCAACCTGGTCGACAGTTTAGGCCTAAGTATCGTACTTCCAATCTGGTCGACAGTTTAGGCCTAAGCATCGTACTTCCATCCTGGTTAACAGTTTAGGCCTAAGCATCGTACTTCCATCCTGGTTAACAGTTTAGGCCTAAGCATCGTACTTCCAATCTGGTCGACAGTTTAGGCCTAAGCATCGTACTTCCATCCTGGTTGACACTTTAGGCCTAAGCAACCCTAATTTTGCACTGCTGATAAGAAGGAGTAACCAGTCAGCGGCAGTCGCCACCTACAAGGCTACACTTAAACGAATAGTGAGATTGATTGTCTCTTTTATAACACCCCCACAGCTGAACATTTGGTGTTCAGCGTCACAATGCAGAGTCGAATCTAGGATCTTCCATTCTGCCACGCTAAACAACTAAGCCACGTCCGGTCCTATATTATTTTTAAGACAACTACTCAGCATCATCACAGATCTTTACGACTTCGTTTTAATTTTGAGATGGGTCTAAATATGCACGAAACGTATTGCTTAAGGTAAGATAACCTATCATAAATAGAACTATAGACCAGTTAACATCGAAACGTTATTTTACTTTTACTAGATAATCTTATGAAATATCTCTTAAAATCATTCTGTATTAAT